TATCTGAGTTGGTCTCTTCAATCTCCCCGGGTCTCTCGACTCATTTACTTGTTTGGTCCTTTTCCATTTTGTGGTTATCTCTTTTACATTCCTAAACACCAGTATAAAATAAAATAATATAATATTATCTATTATTCCACTAAGTACTAATTCTTTGTTAGTATGAATTGTCTTAAATTTGAAGCTAACAATTTCATTATCTTAAAGCGAATATAATAGCATAAAATAAACTAATAACATATTATATATACAAGATATACTTGTAAATGATAAATATAAAAGTGTAAATAAAATCAGTCAGTACAAATAATGAATATGAAACAATATTTAAGTAATTAATTAAACAATACAAAAGTAAATATAAAAGATAAAAATCAATACAAAGGATAACTATAAAAGTAACATTAACATTAGCTAACATAATAATCAAAATAATCATCACTCAATATCTTAAAACTAACTATATTAATAACTAACTGATATAACCTAATGATCAAAATAACATGATTTTATAAAAAATAAAATAATACGAAACAAAATAATATCTTATGCAAATATGATAATTAAAATAACCAACACATAATAACTTAATATTAACATATTAAAGATTAATAAACCATATAATAATGATATTTCACCTCATATATATATATATATATATATATATTATATATATATATATATATATATATATATATATACAAATTTAGAATTAAAACAACAAACACAATAATAAAAGTATTAAAAATTTTAGCAAAGCTAACTATATTTACTAACACATAAGGGATAACCTAGCAGGCCACGTGGCAGCGTAAATTATTAGTTTAAATTTAAACTAACAGCCTAAATTTGTCCAAATTAATAGAGGAGGTCTTGGTTATTGTTCAACATACCATTACACTCGCAAAACACCTCTATCAAGTTTAGCGATACTGATATTTCGATAAAACCGGCGATTTTGCGCCACCGCGTGGTGTTATTTTCGCATGTCACGCACTTATTCCTAGTCCGAATCGGTCCAATTGTGATCAGAAGATGCAGGCCCACGAACTGATCAGTTTTTAGCGAATATTTTTCAAAAGGACTCACTTTTTCCTAGTTAAAACAAAAAAAGCGGCGTACCGTAACTCGACCGAAGTAACCTCTCCCTCCACTTAACACCTTCTCCATATTCGTTTTCACCTTTACAATAATTATATCAATATTTTATAGGCATTTAAAAAAAAAAAAAATCTTTTCAGAATATCCGTACATGATAACAGTCAACAGATATTTATAACAGAATTCTATGTCCTGAGATAGTAATTTTGTTGGCTATGTCAAACCTGCGGTCTAAAATAGTCTCTCCTTCCGGAAAGGAAACTTGTTTTATTTTTTTTAGTTACGAAAAAAACAAAACAAACATGCGGGACGGCAGTGTGCCAATTCCCAATCCCCATCCAGCAGTACTGACTGTGGCAAGCGTGTCTTGGGTTGAGAGTCTATTCGAAGAGAATCCGCTTGGGTAGATTATAAATGTATTAAACAAATTAAAATGAAAGGAACCTCCTGCTCAATTTCATCCAATGAGGACAGTTTGAGTGCAGAAAATAATCATTTTAATCTATTTATTTTGGCTCCCTTACATTCAAAGGTAGGGAAGCTTTTTATTCGTGAGAGAGATTTGAAACAAATCTGTGTTTAGAATCCCAAAGTTCTTTGGGAAGAGAGCTTATTGTTGTAATCATGATATCAGGATTCAAAGACAAAGATACTTAGTATATTATAATTTAATACATCGGTAATAACCGCCTCTGGAGGAGTCTACAAAAGCAGAAATTTTAGAAAACAAAATAATATCTTGTTGGAAATAATAAATGAATCTACAGCCTTTTAAAAACCTACTGAATTGGAACATATCATAGTTATATAATAATCACATATTACACTTTAAATGAAATAATTTAAACATTAAAAAATAAAAAGGAAGAAAGTAGTTTAATACTAAAAGAATCACCAAGATTCATTAAAAATATTAATAATATTTATTTTTAATATGATTTTTTTATGAAAAATGTGGAAAGATTTTTTTTTAATATAGTTTCAGATATATCTGCACCTATTGAGGAACTGTTAAAAATCAGCAAATGGTCTGATAAAAACAATGAAACTGACATGTTAGTCATGGGAAAGAATAGCAGTACTATATGGAAGTTTTCTGAAGTGTTAAGTTTGAATTTTTTGTAAGTGAATCTTTTTAGCTATACCGCATATTCGTGAGGAGCATGTGCATATAGGTGTATTCAGTTTCTGTCTCAGTTCTACTTTTGAAGATTTGGAAAAAAGTGAGTAAAGTAGTTTGAGTCGTCTATTGAGGGCCTCCTGTTACATATTAACATGTGGTCCACATGTCATCCTTCGGTCAAAAATATTTTTTTAGGCTAATGTATGATTTTTATTGCACTCTGAGATGGAGAGAAATATTGAGGTGGTAGGCTCAATTATAGAGAAATAGCTAACGTGTTAACACGTGTTTCCGTCATACAGACTAGGTCTTTATCTGTTTCGTGAAGATATATCAGTCCGCTTGCGTTCCACAAAAGGATGGAAAAAAAACCGCAATCAGCTGATTAGGGACTATTGGTTGGATACTTGTAAATATCCTAATCACCAGTTTAGTACCTTAATTCATATATATATATATAATATAATAAGATAAAGTAAGGCTGTGTTGAATAATTGGATTTGGACTATATGTAACAAGCATGATTAAATAAAATGGCGTGCTTGTCGAAAGGTAGCCGATGTAAAATGGAAATGAAGTAAAAACACAGCCTTACTTTATATAAGTGGAGTGAATGTGTTCATATATCATTATAATTATTGTCTACGTGATAGATTATTATATTTCTAAAAAAATATATATAAATAATTTCACTTAAAACAAATAGGCACAAATTATATATAATATATATGAATCGGAACCTTAACATTTATTTAAGCGTTTTTTAACCATGGGTAAATTATAATGAAAATGTTTCTTTGTTTTTTTATTTCTATATTCTCCTGGAATTTTCAATATTATATAATATAAAGATATTTTTTAATAAAATGGATTTTTTTTTGCAAATGGCTAACAACATTTTAAATATTCAATAACAGCCAAGTTGGTCCTCCTCAAACAGAGAAACAGAGATCTTGAGTAGAAGTTCCCCTTCGTATTTGCCTCCTTTGTCGGAATACCAACTGCAATATAACTCGATTATAGTTTAAATCTACTGTAAACGTTAACAAGGAAACTTGCCGTCGGCCACCCAATTTCTTAGATGAATTAGTTTCCCAGCGTCCTGGAACAGTCCACGGGCAACAGGAATGATTATTACTTGGAATGGAGCCGCATTGGATTTATTGTTTCAATAGTTTTCATTAATATTAATAAGATTTAGGAGAGGGATATTCTTAACTAATTTATAATATGAAACAAAACCAGTAGACTGGGAGCCACCGTTTATCATTTTAAATTCTAGATAATCCTTATCATGTAAACATATAACTTCGTTGAATCGTTAGAACGCTATACTATATAAATTTAAGTGGCGAAATTCTGACTTTTTTTGTACAAGTTCGTCCTGCAGGGGTCAGAGTCCTAAATAGTGTATTGATTGAGGATTATGTAATATCAATTTTTTTTAAATGCTCGAGTGTGCTAAGTATATCGCTGAATCGACGTAGAAATCCAATTAAAAGAATATTAAATTTTCTTTAAAGTTTATGATGAGTCATGATATGTGAATAGATGAAGGCCCGTTGAATTGAAGAAATACTTTTCAACATAATGGATTCTTTGAGAAAAGTCTATGTTGGGAAATATTAATGAAAAACTGACGTCCTATTATTTCATGGGTAGTACGCGAATAATCAACTCTTCACCCATTGGTTCTACATAAATACGTAATTAATGGTAAACTTTGTAACATTTATGGTAAATTTTGTTTGCTTTAATTTTGTAAATTGTGATATTTTCGATCAAATATACATTTTCCGAATCACAGACAAGAAGGTAAAAAAAGTAAGACAATGTTTTTGTTTTTGCATATATCTCGAAACTTCGAAAGAAACACTTTGGGAACTTCCGCTACAGCACTCTTATCAGATTCAGCATATACATTTATTCTATTTGCAACTCTATTTTACTGAACTAATTTTTGACGCCATCGGATTTCAAAATACAACCTTTCAAGTCAACGCTAGTTCTCTTTTTGGGAACACATACTGTGTCCATCGTAACAAGTTTCAGTCGTATTTTAGTTTTTTTTATCTAGAATTAAAAATGTTTTTTTTGGCTTTGAATCCTTTCGATAAATGAAACGGTCGGTGGCTCATAGTCTAACGGAGGACGGGATCCTCGATGCCTGTTTTTTCTTTTCTTTTTTCAGCACTCTCACCGTTTGAATTTACTCTGAAAACTGGCAGATGCGATAAAAAAAACAAAAAAAAAAAGTTTTTCAAGAAATGTTCTCAAGACATATCCTAGAAGGTAATTGTAGAATATGTACACACTATCGATTGAAGTGTATGGTTTTTTCACTATCAACAGGAAGCCTACTTAATGTCAGTAGTCGTTTAAACCAGGGGTCTCCAAACTTTTCTGCCCGTGGGCCACATTGAGGCCTCCACTATGACCCGCGGACCGTCTTAAGATTTCCATGGATCGGGTCATGGACTGCGATGAAAAAAATATCTTGTTCTATGAACGTGAAATGAGCTTTCTAAGAGATAAAAACTCATACACTAAATGTTGAAGTAACCTTGTGTATGAGTGATTTACAAAATTTCATATTTTTTAAAATTTTACCAAATTAAAATAGAAACCTTCCCGAACCGGACTGGAGGTGGACTGACCTGGAGGGGATTAGTTTGGAGAACCCTGGTTTAAACTACTATCTAGCTTGGAAAGTAAGTTTGGACTCTGATCCCATTTTTTGTTAACGTTAACACCTTAGTTAAGAATACCAAAGAATATGCTCCATGAGAAGCCGGATGGCAAAAGAAGTAGAGGGCGCCCTCGGATCAGATGGCTGGAGGATGTTGAGGACGATCTGAGGCGTTCGAAGATGGAGGGAAGTAGCACAAGACCGCGGAAATTGGTTGGCTGTAGTAGAGGAGGGCCGGGTTCTTGCAGAACCGTAGCGCCATAATAATAATAATAACACCTAACTAGTTCTAGTCGCCATTGTTATTTGTAAACCATTATAATAAACAAAAACAAACATTTATTTTTTTTGGCCAGTTATTTCTTTTTCATGATTCAAATCTTATATTGATGATCTTAAGACTAAAGCAAAAAAAATATTGAATTCAATAGTCTTACTTGATTAGGACTTGCTCTAAACGGCTCCTCCACCCAGTCAACTCCAGTCACGTTGCTATATCATATTATTAAGTATCTAGTTTGATGGATTTGATGGGCAGGTGTCATAGATATGAAGTCACTCTTCCGATGATTTTATTAAGGTGATAACAGTTTAGTGTGTTTGTCTCAATTTGACTAACTGCGCCCTCATCAATCTAAAATTGTTTTTAATTTTTGATTTGATAATAAAAGGGATCTCATTGTTAGTACTAATACCAAATTTATAAATACGGATGCAAATTAAAAATAATTTTCAGGAAATAAGAGTAATACTACAATATATAATAGTTGGCCCGTGTTAGTGAAGGTTAATACTGATCAGTGAACAAATGACAATATAACAAGGAAATTAAATAATTGATAAGATGAAGGAACGATTTCTTATGTTTTTCGGTGACTGTAATCGGCCAAGGAAAAGAAAATTATTATAAACCTTCATTCATGTTTTAAATCAAAATATTTACGAATTACAGGAACCTGTATCTCAGCTAATAATGGTCTGAATTCGACGATTTTTTTTTTTTGGAGGGGGTAAGTGAGAGAATTTAGTAATCAAATAATAAGGAGTACAATACAAGAAACAACAAACGTATACTTTATAATTTATTCGCAAATAAAGTTTCTTTTCCTTCATAACTTTTATTCCTGAAATTTTGGTGAGATCTGATTATTTTCCTCACGTGAACGATCATTGAATTTGACGAAAAATTGACGAAGATATGGCATACCTTAAAAACGAAACAAAAAAAAAAAACATTGAGAAATAATCGAATATCTCACATAAAATGGCGTAGATGGATATTTTATTTATGGATGATAAATATCCAGGACGCAGTCATCATAAGGTTTTTATTAGTGCTGACGTTTCAACCCAAACATGTGGGTCATAAGGGCTGAAAACTTTTAAATACAATCGGAGATATAATATTATACGACTAATGGTTAATAATGAAAAAAATATAGTGATTGATGGTACATGAATCTTAACGAATATTACAATACAAATGAAATATGTAGAAACTTATACAAACTAAAAATAATGTATATAATTCATTTATAAAAATTGTAATATTTTCTCTTACTAATCGTGGTCCGAGCACTGAAGATATTCAAGTACTAACACATTTGGTAGGTAAGTGTGAGGGTTCGGCAATAATAAAAACTTTATAATGACTGCGTCCTGAATATTTATCACCTGTGATATGTAGAACACTCGACTAAATATTGAAGTTTAATGTTACTTTCATAACATAAAGTTTCTGATAACACAAGAATGAGCGTTACTGATGAAGAATACAAGAAGGAAATCTAAATCGATGTGCTGATATAGTAATTATATGGTTACTTATCAAATGATTCTATTGGTCTTTTACAGGTTAGCCACCAAGTAATTTTTTTTCAATAGTAACCTGTTATTTTATGTGATTAAAGAAAAACATGATATCTTAAGCATTGTTTATAATTAAATAGTTATAGTTACTAACTATATGTATTACTATGGAGTCTTGCCCTACCCAATTCTTTACCACAATACTTTGTTGTAGCGTACTGCTCAAACCATAAATAAATATGTAGTATGGAATAGGTTAAAGGTAATCTTTTATGTTCAAACCATGTATTGGATAGCGTAGTCCTTCTTACTTCTACACGAACATAAGCAACTATCATCATAAGCACCATTTCTATCTTTCTACTAGCTTCATTACGTGTCCATTCTTATATAAGCGTTTATCTATATGTTGTTTATGTCACCCAGGTATTAGAGGTAAAATGAACTAGCCGACATCATGACAAAAAAAAAAAGCAATCAAGGAAGTAATTCCAGTAGGGGATACTTTTACAAAGGAAGTGGTAGCTTTGGTAAAGAGAGAGGCTCTTGAGAAATGAGAGAGTCTCAAGCGTGTTTTAAGAGATTATAAGTCGATAGTGATCGAGTCCTCAGTAGTTCTAAATCGAGCAGACTTCCAGTTGAACCGATGAGAAGAAAACTTCTTTGCAAGGCTACGAATCGGACACTCACGGCTAACACAGGTAATATAAGATAACAACCCTTCAGTGTCTCTGATGCGGTGTAAATTTAACAGTGAGGCATATCTTCATTCAGTGTTATGCCTATGGAGAGCATCGAAATGAAGTGGAATTGGAAAATAATAATGCTGAAATCTTGAAAAACACCACCGACATGACAAAAAATTGTTTTTATTTCTTCAAAAAAACGCAACTATATAACAAAATTTAATTTTTTGACATCCCAACCCATCCTAACACTGTTATTACCACGTATGCCGATGACCCAACCATTGCATCCCAAACTTTTCAATCGCACATCACAAGCCTTGAAGAATGGTGTCAAAACTGGAGGATTAAAATAAATTCTAATAAATCCCATCAAATCACCTTTACCCTTCGATGTAAACCTATGACCTCATGTCCCACAGTATCCTTTAATAATACCCCACTTATCCCTGTTGAACAAATCCGATACCTTGGACTTCACTTGGACAAACGTCTAACTTGGAATACTCATACCAGACTGAAACGACAAGAAACCGCTCGACGTTTCCGACTACTCCAACACTTACTAGACAAACGCTCTAAGCTTCCAGTTAATTACAAAAGACTTATATACATGACTACAATAAGACATATTTGGACTTACGGAGTTGAGCTTTGGGGCTCCACTAAGCCATCGAATTCCTCTCGTATCCAATCCTTACAATCCAAAATCTTTCGTAAAATCCTCAATGCTCCTTACTTTGTCACCAATAAAATAATCCATAATGACCTTAATGTTCCTTATGTTTCCGATTTGGCCCAATCCAGATACCAATCCTTCCGTAATAAACTTCAGAACCATCCAAATCCTCTCGTCTCTTACCTTACTTCTTCTTCTATTCCTGTTAACCCTCCGAGGCGTCTGAAAAGAAGATGGTCTCGAGACCTCTTTTTGTAAATACATTTTGTTTTTAGAGTGCTACCAGTGGGTAGTTTCTCAACAAGTCATTTCATGTTATTATATTCAGTTATCAAATTTACTTAATGTATTTAATTTTTTAATACAGTTCTAAATATCATGAATAAGTAAAAAAAAAAATAATGTTTTTTTGAAATAGTAATGTTTTAATATTTTCTACTTTCAAGATTATTTTATAATTTTACATTGTGCATAATAAATAATGTGAGGGATACAATGAACCGTTATAGATTGAGGAACTCCCCCCTCCATTGTTTCAAATAAATATTATTTAAGCGCTCTTTATGGATGATTCCAACTCCATGATAAAACTTACAGGATTCTCTCTCGTCTATTCAAAGTGGATTATTACCTAAAGGAGTTTATTTTACTAATAAATGAGTATGTTAACATGTTTTATATAATAAAAGACTAACAACATCGATTCAAATAGAACTGATACTTTTCATATTTTAATACTGAGCATAAATAGGGAGGAAGAAAAAAAGAAAGAAAGGAAAGATAAGTCATATATATATATATATATATATATATATATATATATAACAGAAAAATATAATATAAAATTAATGTCCGTGCAGATTGATAGGTATGCTGTGTACGAAGCAACCCTATGTAGTAGGGCAGCATTACTTTTAATAAAGTATTTATCTCTCTCTACTGGCGGGACTAATCTGCAAAAGACTCACTTCTATATTCAGAAAGGAAAAATGAAATATAATTATGGAATCATTAATTACTCAATACATTTCTTTGTGCTAAACAAATATCTTTTATATAATAATGAATAAAGTAAAGCTCTTAACTACGAAGTAGATTGACAATTTGGATATCAGCCATGCGCTTAACTCTATTATTTCAAAAAATGCACATACCCCCTCTCCCCTTAACCTACTTCCCTTTACTCCTTTGCCCCAAGAATCCTTATATAATGTATCGCACTGTCGTTATGGTGTTGTTTAAAAACTACTTTATCGTACTTTTGTGAGAGAGGACGCCAAAGAGCGCATATCCGATAGCTTCCTACCGACTTGAATCCTCCAGTGCTTTGTAGCACGACCTTTTGCTCGAAAACAGTATTTCCTTACCAAGTACTAAACTCAAGAACCTCCATGGATTGTATTGGTTCAAATCATTATTTATTATGTACTAAAATTATCCTTTGCCAAGATATACTTACTAAACGATCGGGATAGTGACAGTAAGAGTAGCGATTATCAGGAGGGGCCGCGGCGATGTTGGGTATTGAAGTAGCTGCTTAGTCACGATCTGTGATGGCCCGGTCACGAAGTGCAGGTCGTGACACTGAGCTATCTAATCAGCGGTACCTTCCTCAGCGCTGTTTGTATACCGCCGTATTGAGGAGGCAATAATTAGGGTTCGCTACTTACGCTAACGTTAAATTAAAAATTTGTTTTTGTTTTGGGTCTCTTATTTGAAATTTTATAAATGAAATAGGTGGGTTTAGATAATTTAGGAAAATTTTAAAAAAGTAACCCTGTAATTCTTAACGTTTGTGGTTATCCTCAGAAACCTGAATCGATATTGATTACATAAGATTTTTTTTGGTGCTGTTACAAAATTATAGGTCATATCTCAAGATAAGGTAAGAGATCCGTTTTTCTGCGATTAATGGTAACTTTTATTTTTGTCTCCTGTTTTCCTACTTAGCAGACTACTTATAGCAGTTGTAGACTACAAAATGTCACTTTAAGAGCACATAGAATAAACATGTAAAATTGTTACATACGACCTTTTCCACTAACAGTTGTAAATATGTTAACCTGACAGCATCATTTATTATTGCTTGATATAGGTTTTCCTTTTCACTTTTACTTTAATAGTATATGTTTGTTATGTAATAATGTTTTGTATTCAATATAAAATCATCTAATATTACGATTTGTGAAGTTGTGAAAAAATTATGTCAGTAATACGTCAAGAAGAAACACAGGCGTATCTACGGGAGGGGGGAGGGGCTTTCGGGCTGAAGCCCTCCCGCCCCCAAAATGGTAAAATATAATCATGTTTTACAGAAAAAAATATTTAAAACTATCTCTTAAATTATTTTTGTTCGTTTAATTACATTTAATAGGACTTAAAGAACCACTTAAACACCATTTCATATAAGTTGTTAATTTCTTTTTTTTTCAAAATAATTATCGTTATATGTATATGAAAAAAAAAAAAATCTTTCGGACTGAAGCCCTCCTCCCCCAAAAATTAAACCCTGAATCCGCTAGTGAGAAGAAACAATCAATTAGATGGATTGTTCATTTGAGGATATAACATCATATCAATAGTATAGGAAATAAAGGCAATATAAACAAAAAGATTGGGCATTCATGAAACTTCGTAATTGAAATTGAGGTTTGCTGAGTCCGCCCGTGACAACTCTCTCTCTCTAGATGGGTTGGAATATGAACGAGATATTTTATATATACTTTGCTTAAACTAAGTAGAGATTGTTATAAATTTTTTTCTGGGTCAAATGAGACTACTTAATGTAAATGCATAAACATACTTTTTATTTCTAAAAAAATAATGATTTTTCATGTAAAGTGGTTTTGTAACTGCGTTTTTCTCATAGATATCTACTCTCAGAATCGATCCGTATTTATTAAGCGGCAAAGTAAATGTTCTTGTAATATTAGGATGTTTACGTAAATATTAGGATCAGGAAAATTTACTTTTTCATTTATAAATACGGATCAATTCATATAGCAGAGACCTGGATAAAAATCACAGTTATAAAACCACTTTAAATGAAAAATATTTGAAGAATATTTCTTTTTAAAATTTTTATTAGAATAAAAAGCGTGTTTATGACTTTATATTTATTATCATACATCCCAGGCCATCGAAAAATATTAAATTAAAACTCTGCAGCAATTTATAGTAGCCATTTTTGCTGAAAACAAGAGTACTTTTAGGAGACAGGTTATAAAATAACATCATCTTTGTAGACAATTTAAGACGAATCTCAAACTTTTCTCTAATAAATCTCAATTTAATTAATATGGACTTATGGTTAATTAAACGAATAAGTTTTTCTAAAAGTGGGATATCTCTAGTATAATTGAATGAGAATTTAAAAGAAATTAGGTATAAGTTATGTTTTTTTTAAAACCGGAACTTTAGTTTAGCCGCTCAACAGTCCTCTTCAAATGGTTTTAACAGTGACAAATTCTATTTTCTGTCAAAGTAAATTTTGTCTAGTTTACAGTAAAACAATTATTAATTATTTAAATTAAATATTTTTTTAGTTATCACTTCCTATTAAACAATAAACACGATTTACTTGAAATACCGAAACTCGGATTTCCTACTTTTCTGCTAATTATTGGCTCGTTGGTTATACGAACGTTTCCATAGCTCTTATCATATTATCATAGCTCTTATACTATTCCTCATAAAAATATTTTGTATATTATATTGTATATGTTTATAATATACCTATAAACATCCTGTATATTTTCTACTTATAATATTGCTAATATTTTAGCAATGGCTTGGATTGATTACTTTTGGACAGTCTTATAGAAATATAAACATCATTTCTTTTATTAAATTAGTAGAAAATGGACAAACCGCAAGCAACCCTTTCTTCATATGTTGACTTCATAAATCTAGATAGTTTATGAGCGCTTATATTTTTCTGTAAAACTGTAATTGAGGAGTAAAACTGTGAGTCCGCAGTAAAAGACTGCGGCAGAACTCATGCAAAACTGCAAATGGGTAATTCAACAGTTGGACAAGGCAGATCTATGGAGAATAGGGGGAGGGATGGGGTGAGCCCTTCTCTGGAATGGCAACATATAACAAATGAATATAATAAAAAGAATTATCTCTAAAAGTATTATTGTTCGGTAAATAAATTTAATTGGACTCAAAGAATCACTTAAACACCATTTCACATAGGTAGTTATTTTCTTTCTTTCTTCTGAAGTAATTGTCCTAATATATACATACAAAAAAAAAATCTTTCGGACTGAAGTCCCCCTCAAAATTTAAATCCTGGACCCTTTATTGACAGTTGGTAACATTAACCTCCAGTAAAGGACTGAAGCAGTCTCCCTATATTCACGAAGTTCGCGGGCTCATGACTTAAAACAAAGCACTTGTTCAAATGTAAGGCTATAATACATTTACTATATCATTTAATACACTCCATAACAATCGAGCCTATAAACTATTACTAAAGAGTATATTACCAAATTCTTAATGAAGTCTTCGAAGTAGGGGGTGTGATTTAGAAGATATACTGAAGTTTTGAGAAAGGAATCATATATCAATTTATTTCTTGTATTAAATGATAATTATAACAATATTGCAACGAAGAACGCTAATTATATTATTCATTAAGGAGCTTAATAGCTTTCATTTATAAATTACTGGTGATGATTATACATTAGGTAATATAAGTATTTTCAGAAGAAGTAATTGATTGTGATAATGAAGGAACGTATTCAATTAACACTTTGGTTATTGAAGGTCTAATTGAACTCCCTAGGTAAAGTGCAATTAAGTTGATCGCAATTGAAGGTGAAGTTAATGAAACCCCTCTTAATGACTTTGCTATTTCTAGACTTTGAGGGCGACCGGTGAAGATTTAAATGATAATCTATGTTGATTTATCTACTATCCTGGGGATATATAATTGAATTTGACGTCAATTGATTTCTTGCTATTAATACATTATACTTTTATATGAGGATTTATTTATAAATTTGTTTTACTTTTTTTTTGTTTTAAACACATGATGATAATTTTCTTAAATTCTTTAAATTAAAAACTTAATCTTAACATAATTGGGTTCCCATCATTTTTTGTTTTCTTAAAAAACAAAACAAATTTACTTGTTTTATTAATTTCACAGTTATAAATTTCAATAAATGAATAATAATTAAAAACAAATCCACTATCTCTTTCGGTTGTTATTAAAATACAACGTTATTATATAAAAAATAACACACACTAAGATAAGGAAAAATTGTTATTAAAAACCAATTAAAATTAAATTGTTGGTTTCTTCTTAGATGGAATCCCGAACTAACCCCGGAAACAGTTGCTGTAGCGGTTAATAATAACAGCGTAAGACTAGAGCTGCAACTAACGAAGATAGAAGGAATGAGCTGCACTGAAAAAAATGTAATAAGGGGCTTATACCTTGATTTGGCAGACATGACAACCAAATTGAGCTAAATTAGAGATTGACAATATAACAATTAATAAATTTTCGATTATTACATTGTACAACATTGTTGCCACTTGTAATGAAATTTCATTCGTTAATATTGGAGCAAATAATACTCTAATATAATTTTTTATTTTTATATTTGTTATTATATATGAAATTTATAACTGTACAATTAATATACATTCAGCAAATGTGATACAGCGAAATACATGACATGACAAGAGAATCTACCCATTGGTGGCACTCTAATAAAGTTTCTAAATTAGGAGATCACGGTACCATCTTCTTTTCAGACGTCTAGGAGGCTTATCAAGGATCGAGGAGGAAGCAAGGTTAGAAACGAGAGGATTAGAATGATTCTGAAGTTTATTAAGGAATGATAGGTATCTGGATTGAGCCAAATCGGAAATATATGGAACATTCGGGTCTTTTTTGGATTTTTTATTTGTGACAAAGTAAGAGACATTAAGGATTTTACGAAAGATTTTGGATTGTAATGACTGGATACGAGAGGAATTTGATGGTTTAATGGAGAACCATAGCTTAACCCCGTAAGTCCAAATAGGTCTTATTATAGTCATGTATATTATTATTTTGTAATTAATTGAAGTTTACAGTAAGTGTTGGAGTTAGCGGAAACGTCGACCAGTTTCTTGTCGTTTCAGTCTGGTACGAGAATTCCAAGTTAGACGTTTGTCCAGGTGGAGTCCTAGGTATCGGATTTGTTAAACAGGGATAAGTGGAGTATTATTAAAGGATACTGTAAGACAGGAAGTCACTGGCTTACGACGAAGGGTAAAGGTAATTTGATGGGATTTATTTTAATTCTTCAGTTTTGACACTATTCTTCAAGGTTTGTGATGTGATATTGAAGGGTTCAGGACGCAATTGTTAGGTCGTTACGAAATGATAGGACTCAGGCGTCATCGGCATAGGTTGTAATAACGGTGTTTGAATGGGTTGGGATGTCAGCTGTATAGACTGTGTAAATAATAGAAACTAGGATACTACCTTGAGGAACACCAGCAGACACGGAAAAGAGGGATGAATAGGCATTGTTGTGATTTACTTTGAAGTATCTATTAGTATGGTAGGAACGAATAATGAGGAAGCATGTAGGTGGTAGGACTTTGTACAGCTGTCCCGGGTGCCAAACTCTATCAAAAGCCTGCT